ATTTTATAGAAATATAATATATAAAATTTATATAAATATATCACTTCTTACAATAAATTAATCACATGTCCTTAATTAACCAAATTAGATTAATTGATACGGACATAGAGTGGGTCCTGATTAAAAGTTGAATTTATTGTTTAGTTATCCCAACTTTCTCTTGTTTTAATTAATTAATTTATTTATTCTAGCTATTTTATCAAGTAAACGTCCAAAAGGAAATGTGAAAGGAAAATAGTCAGACTTTTCAACCTGAAAATGGGGGACCCTTCCGTTGTTTATTAGCTCTGAGTTGTCTCCAAATGGGTAGGCTTCTTTATCTTTAGACTTTAGACTTTAGCCCCTTTTCCTAAAAGAAAACTAGAGGTGAGGAGTATCAAATTTAAAAATTAAGAGCAGTACTCGTGTGAAAAGAGCCAAATTAATTGGGCGATGACATGAGTGATGACGTTGTAGCTCCCTTAGACAGCTATAAAAAGGCACTCAAGCCTTCCATTTTCCAGCATCGAAACACCGAACCTAGTTATCTACAAAGATGACTTCTAAAGCTTACTTAGTAGTGTTGTTCCTTGGAGTGGTGGTTCTTCTCACCACTCCAGCCTCCTTTGCCGATCACCATGACAAGCCTAAGCCACCTCCTAAACACAAGCCTCCTACTCTAAGTGAAAATGGTGATCATAAGCCACCTAAAGGAAAGGGAGAGAAGCCTCCACATGAACACAAGCCTCCCCACAGGCGGCTCTTGGCTGAGGATGTTGCTGTTGAGGATTCATACAAGCATGAGCCGCCAAAGGGCAAAGGCGAAAAGCATGAACATGGGCACAAGCCACATCATGGGCACCACCATGGACACTTGCTAGCTGAAGAAGTAGAGGAGGATTCTCACAAGCACCCATTTGGCAAACCACCAAAGGGTAAGGGAGAGAAGAAACCTCCCCACCACCCAGGACATATGCTTGCGGAAGAAGTAGAGGAAGAGGACTCACACAAACACCCATTCGGCAAACCACCAAAGGGTAAGGGAGAAAAGAAACCACCCCACCACCCAGGACACATGCTCGCTGAAGAAGTTGAGGAAGAGGACTCACACAAACACCCATTTGGCAAACCACCAAAGGGTAAGGGAGAGAAGCCACCACATGAGCACAAACCTCCTCACAGGCGGCTCTTGGCTGAGGATGCTGCTGTTGATGAGGATTCAAAGGGCAAAGGAGAAAAGCCTGAACATGGGCACAAGCCACATCATGGACACCACCATGGACACATGCTAGCAGAAGAAGTTGAGGACTCACACAAACCCCCATTTGGCAAACCACCAAAAGGTAAGGGAGAGAAGAAGCCTCCACACCACCCAGGACACATGCTCGCAGAAGAAGTCGATGAGGAGGACTCACACAAACACCCATTTGGCAAACCACCAAAGGGTAAGGGAGAGAAGAAACCTCCCCACCACCCAGGACACCTGCTCGCAGAAGAAGTCGAGGAGGAGGATTCACACAAGCACCCATTTGAAAAACCACCAAAGGGCAAGGGAGAGAAGAAGCCTCCACACCATCCTGGACACATGCTGGCAGAGGAAGTAGATGAGGAGGACTCACAGAAGCCACCACGCAAATTGAAGCCGTCTTTCCCTCCACACAAACCACCCCACAAGCCTCCACATGCCAACTAAGTGATTGCATTCATGCACATGCCTCTCTTCAATATTCTAAGTTATAACTTAGTTTATTGTAAAAATAAGAGCTGCCGCTTATGTATCCTTTGTTTTCGGGTATGTACTATGTAAGCGTCCTTGATCTGGATATATACCATGTGGGCTGAGGCTTGTTGGTCAGTACTGCAACTGAGTTGAGCCCATGTTGTGTATTCCATGCACGAGAATGGATCTGTAGTGTGCTTTGTTTCTTCATGTCCTATGTATTAATATATGGTCTGTTTGTGCACCTCTCTCCTCTCTTATACTAGATCTTTGATTAATTTAATTCTTGTGACTGTATTCTTGCCGCATAAAGAATTCATTAGAAAAAATTGATAACAAAATTAATTCAACGGCCAAACGAAGAGAGAAAAATAATGGAAAAGGGACAAGGTTTAAAAAGAATAAGGATTTAATTAGTCGTTGATATGTACTTGATATCACTCCTTATTTCATGTAAATTAATACCAGAAGGAAAAAAAAAAATCTAAGGAGAATAGATTAAAATTAAACAAAGACTGAATTAAAAATCAGTTCATGTGAATACCAGACGGATAAAAAAAAAATTCTAAGGAGAATAGATAAAAGTAAGGACTGAATTAAGAATATTGACTTATTTTCCCCTGTTTATGATGTAATTTTATCTAAAATTTAAAAAATTATAGTAATATTTCATGAAAAAAATATATAATTTGTAAAGCGTAGCTCGTTTAAAATAATTTCTAACTAAACGTAATTTATCAAAAATATACCTTCTGAAATCTGAAGAATGAAATATGGAGTAGTAAATTTAAGTTAAAAAAAAAAAAATTAACAGAACAAATCATTCTAGAAGGCTTAATGCTTTGCTTGACTCACGGAGAACTTGATGAAGTTTGTATAGAAGCACAACATTTCTTTTTATTTAAAATATTATGAATTAAAAGATTTCTATTCTCATTTAAAATTTCATATGGAATTTATTGAAACTCAATCAAAACATGTACTTGAGCTTGTTTAGGGAGGGCAAAACCCATTGTTAAGCCCCTCAACTTACCCCATTTTAGCAAATGAGCTCCCAAACCAAAAAAATCAAGCAATTAATCCCTTCAAACACCGAATTGATGCAAATTAAATTAGCCCTTCCATTAACCGCCACTGTTAGCCTATGTTAAGTTCAGATGATGTGGCAGTCAAAATCAGCAGCATACAATAATAAATCTAACTTTGCATTGACAAGTTGCAATTTAGTCCATAATATAGGTAAATTTAAAGTAAATGGTCCCTGAACTTTAGATATTTTACCAACAATTTAAGTCAGTTTGTATGAGTGCTTCTTCCTCTCAATTTGCAGCAATAATGGTAAAAATTTACATGATTTTGGAGGGATTAAATCATTGGAAAACAGACCCATGGCTTGAAAAATAAATATTTTTTTCTTTTCTATATCTAAAAGAGATTAAAGAATAAAGATCCTCAAAACTTTTTCCCTCCACTTCAATCGTGTTTTCGTTGGGAACCAAACACATCTGCATCAATTGGTAAATTAGAATTCTATCCAAGGCGTTGTTTAAAAAAAAAAAAAAAAGATTCTAGCGAAGGCTGCCCAGAGAGTCCAGAGGTGAGAGAGTTTGAGATGCGATGTCTACTGTCATCATGAAAAAGATTTTGAAAACTGAGAACATTGTGCAGAGTTATAGAGGGATTATTCAGAAAATTTTGAACTCAATGTCTGGATTTGGTGTGGAATGGAGAGGGATTCATATCGATGGCATTGAATTTGTGCAGTTTTATTTTGGTTTTTGCATTAGTTTCAGTTCAGAGAAGCTTAAAGTCCCACCATTACTAGCCCTGCATTCATCTCGACTGTCACCATGAAGCTCGTCTCAGTATGTCCTCGCAGTTACACTAACGAAAAGTGTTACCAAAAAAAAAAAAAAAAGGTTACAAGGTATTGGAGAGAAGTTTAGAGTGCATAGGAGCAACTTTGGATTAACTGTACCATTTACAACTTTAGATTTTTATATTATTATTTTTTATTTTTAAGTAAAGTACTTAAAGTGCAAGACTATATTTATTTGAAATTTAACTATTTTGAGGATTAAATTGCAATTAAATAATTCTCATTATTGCCACGTGAGATGAATTTACCGTTGTTGTTGCTGCCGTTTGCCACATCAGCTGAGTGAAACGGTAACTGTCAACTAAAGGGGTAATTTGCTGCCATTTTATAGTTGTAGGGCTTAAGTGCTTGATTCTTTGTTGAGGGGCTTATCGCTAAAATGGGTTAAGTTGAGACAGGACCAGCAAAGAACTTGAAAGTTGCAAATAAAGCCTAGGAAAATTACTGCTAGATAATTCAATACATTTTTTAATATTTATCTTGATTTAGTTATTAAATTATAATATAAATTTAATCAACTCAGTCGATTCTTATATTATATATGTATAGCTACATAGCTTTAATTTTAAACTAAAAATAATAATTTTTTTATAAATATATTATACAATATATTAAATTGAAATACATACTAGTTATTGTTCTAAATCTTAATATTTTGGCCCAATGACTTATAGAGTAATTTGATTGATTTAAAAAAGTTTCTAAAATCAAATAAACTCTAAATATTATTTTAAATTCTCAAAGATTAACCTACTAAATTCATAAATTTTTTTATATACATTTTTGTTTGATTCTCATCACATCTTTTTAATATGAAACTCTTATTCTTATCATTTATACTTTTTTACATGGAACGTATAACAAGTGAATCTCCAATAGAACTAGAGTTTTATTTATTTATTTATTTACACCCTTCTCATACTATTTTCCATAAATCAAACGTGGCATCTAAGAGAGCAGTAAACCTAACAGTAAAATGGTCGGTGCTACCGGGCCAGGCACCATCTAAATCTAATCCACTACAAATGAACGGACGTGAGCGGTCTCAAACATTTTCAAGATTTCACATTTTCTGAAATCGACATTTACTATATTACGACATATCAAAATCAATTAACCATCAAGCAATGGGCGCCTGTCATGTCCGACTTAAATCTATGCCATTATTCAACCATGATTGCTACATGTTACTCTGCTTAATGGTTGTGGACCTAATTGAAACCAACTGCCTTTCATAAAGTCAATGTGTTTGGGTTAATCCCTTTGGGTTGGTCTAGTTGGTTGAAAGATATTTCCTTTCTTAAATTAAGATCTAATTTTGTAAGACACAACTTGTGGGACTGGGACGAGAACAAGTTCGTCGTAAATTTTCTAATTTTAACATGCATGTCTTTATTGATTACGTGCTAATTGTCTTGAGATACCACATAATTAGGATGCGTAAAAAAAAAAAAATCAAACTATTTGATTAAACAAATAAAAAGTGTTGTATATTTCAAATTGCATTAGATTATATAACTTAAACTATTAAAAAAAACACAAACCCCCTTATATTAAGAACTGTCTCCCATCTAATAATTCATGTTTTATTATTTGAATGTAATATAATGATATCTGAACAATAAAATAGGGGACTTTCTTTTTTCTTTGTACATAAAGAACCAAGGAACTCTAGCAAATCTGAATGAGTTCGTAGTGAGTTAGTAAACAATCTGAGAGGAAGAAATCTTAATTAATTCCCAGTGAGTTAGTAACCAATTTGAGGTGAAGATAAAACTACTTGGGTAAAGCTGCCTTTTCTAATTAAAAAATTAAAAGTGCTGAGATAGTGCCCTTATAGAATGCAAATCAAAACAGCAGCTCAGAGCCCTCCAGCATTTATGCAGAATTTTATACATCCACTAAATTCATTTTTACTGTCCATTTGGCAGCGCCCACGATGCAGAAGGCTGAAATCCAAGTATACAACGTAGCAAACACACAGAATGTTAAAAAGTATATCATGCAGGAAAAAAATGACTCCTATGAAGTATTAAGAAATTATAAGAGAGATGGAAATAGTAGCAGCAACAATGGGGCCTTAATACAATGCTAATCAAAACCAGCAGCACTAGACCGCTCGCATGCTGAATTTTCCATTAATAAAATGGTATCCACTAAGTTGACCCTTAGTGTACATTTGGCATCGCCTACAATAAGAAGGCTGAAATTCCATGTATCCTATCAACTACCTAAAATCAATTAATCCATTAACAACGGATAGAGTAGCCCATATTATATTTAAAGAATGCTGTTTTACAATCTGCCCTGCCCAAATTGCAGAACAGCTAACCATTGATGGAGGGTGAGCCCCCAATATCAGGGGGTCCACCAACTCCATCAATGGTTAAGTGAAGTGCAGTCCATGCAGGGAAGACAGAACTTCACTTTTCTGTCATATTTAAGTTCATATATTCTCCTTTAATTGATCGATAACATATCCAATGAAGTGCAAATGCATGCAGAAAGAAGATTCTATCATTTCTAATACGAGCTAACATTTTATCCTGCCAAGCCAAACTGAAAGAACATGTCTGAAAAATAAATCATGCAGAAAACAAACTCTGATAAAGTATTAAGTAAAAAGAACTGAGTAACAGCAATTGTTAGAATCTATTCTTGATAAATGGTAATCAAGACAGCCCCTCTAGCACTCCAGTATGCAGCATTTTTTATTGGTATCCACTAAATTCACTTTTACTCTTAGTTAGGCAGCGCCTACATGCAGTAGGCAGAAATTCCATGTATCCAGAGTTGCATACACACAGAATACGAAAGGTAAACCGTGTAGAAAAAGAACTCCAAAATGCATAGACGGCAACTCATCATTAAGGAAACTCATATAGAATTTGTAGTCAGCTGAAAAATCAAGCTTAATTATAATTATCCTTTCCTTTCTGTTGAGATAAAAATAAATAAAGAAGAATGTGGATGACAATGATTCAGTAAGTGTAACCTATATATATTACCTATGTTTACAAGCAAAATCAGAATTCATTTTCACCATGTGAAAAATAATATCGAGTATAAAAACTTCCAGAACCTTTTCTCAACCTTAGATTAAAAAGAAAGTTCACAACAATCATTATTAACATAATAAATCCTATTGGCCTATCCTTCAAATTGTTTTCTTTTGTAAAAGAAATACATGAGTAACATATGCATCAATCACGGTAACATTAAAAATTTACTTTAGAGATGACTAATTAAAGTATATGGAGCTATAACAACCTTAATTTTATGGTGGTATGGAAAAAGCAGAGTATAATGCACAATGATGTAAATGATGATCACATTGCTGCCTTTTCGAGCAGTATAAAAGGACCTCAAAATCTTCTAGTTCTGCACCAGAAAATAAGCCAGAAAGATACCCAAGCTGAGATGAGTACTAAACCTTACCTGCTGGTATTGCTCATTGGAGTGGTACTGGTTCTTCTCACCTCTACTCCCTCCCATGCTGATAATCCTAATAATGAGCATCATGAACTAAAACCAACAAAAACAGGCAAGCCTTTCTTGACTGCTCAAAAGCTAGCCACTTTGAATGCAGATGGCAAGCCTGCTCCCAATGAAGAAGACAAGCCACTCCCTGAACAGCCACCAAAGGGTAAGGGAGATGAACCACCTAGACATCCAGGTGATGAGCCACCAAAGAGGCAGAAGCCTCCTTACAGACACCTCCTGACAGCTGCTGAGGATGAGCCACCAAAGGATAAGAGACAACCAGGTGATGAGCCACCAAAGAGGAAGAAGCCTCCTCACCGACACCTCCTTGCAGTTACTGAGGATGAGCCACCAAGGAAACCGGGTGATGAGCCACCAAAGGAACACGAACCACCGAGGCAACCAGGTGATGAGCCACCAAAGGAACACGAACCACCAAGGCAACCAGGTGATGAGCCACCAAAGGAACACGAACCACCAAGGCAACCAGGTGATGAGCCACCAAAGGGTAAGGGAGGGAAGCCACCAAAGGGGCAGAAGCCTCCTCACAGATACCTCCTTGCAGTTACCGAGGATGAGCCACCAAGGAAACCAGGTGATGAGCCACCAA